AACATAATAAAATTTGGACTCACATAACTACTGTGGTCCCCACCTCCTATCTAACAACTAACATAAACATCTACTCAGAAAAACATCATAAAACTAATTAATCTTCAACAATATATTTGTCCTATTATCATGAGATGAGAATAGTATTAACATAATTAATAAAATCCACTCCCCACTCTCATCCAATCATATACACAAAACCACCATATCCCTAACACATAGAAGAGTTAGAATAACAAGAGATCTCCACCCTCATTTAGCAGCAGTATATACCAAAAACTAATAGTAGGACATAGTTTTGCCTTTTATCATCATCATCATCATCTAAGCCTTGTCCCAACCACCTGGGATCAGTTACATGAATCATGTTTCACCATTCCGTTCTGTTCAGTGTCATATCCATCATTAAATTATGGGTGCTTAAATCATTTCTTACTACTTCCACCCATATCCTTTTCAGTCTGCCCCTAGCTCTTCTAGCACCTTCAACTTTTTTTTTGATAACTTCTAGAACCTTCAACTTTTAACAGATCACTTCTTCTAACGAGTGTTGTAGATAGTCTTTTATGTACATGACCAAACCATAGTTTTTCCATCTGATGTGCAATACAACAGACTTGGGTCAAGCAAAGGTTAAGCAACAAAAGTAGATCTTGTTTTTGCTACCTTTGGCTTGAATACTCCTACACCACCTCTAAGTGTGGGACTCTTCTCTTCCATATCTTCTGATCTCTTTTCCTTCAATAAATTTCTATATATGGTTATTACCGAAGGGGAAGAAAGGTTGAACAATGATAACCTAGAATTTTGTCTCTTTATTTCTGCATGGAAGGACTGCCTGATGCAAATGATGTTTTCAGTTAAACTGGTTGGCATATGCTTTAACCTCATTGCTTTTGCATTTTGTTACAGGAATATCCTTTCCTCAACTTGATCCTAAACTCTGACTCATTTTCTCATTAATCGAACTTGTGAAATGCAAATGCAAGTTGAGATTTCTTGGTTAATGAGACACTATAGTAAAGTTTTAACCATGCATGTCAAAATATGGTAAGAAAACTAGTTTTCAAGTTAAGCTAATAATTCATAGATAATCGTGTGAAGTAGTTGCATAAATTAACAAGGGCATCAAGTTCTGAAATTCAATGATCCTATATATCTTATCATCAGAGAATCTGTTGTTTAATTAAATGAAAATGCAGCATATGAAACATTAAACATTAAGAATTGAGAAGCATAATATATTGCCCCATGTCAACATTCTAGTATATCATGTGACGCATGTACACAAAACAAAACAATTTGAAGGGAAGTGTGTGTGAGGAGGAGGGGGGGGTTTACCAGCATGAAATCGAGAAATGGTTGGGTGCTCAAGGACAAAGTCACATAAATCTACACGCCCAAACATGTAAGCCCCCTTCTGGGATCTGCATCACCATTTAAGTATGTAATGCAGACATAGTAAGCTTTCGTCTCTTGTTAGTAACGAAAAAGAAGTACGGCGTTTCTGTTTCAGTGTACAGAACAGAGTGTGCCTATTGAACTTACATTTACAAAGCTGTAAGCGGTTGTAAAACCAGAACATCAAAATTGGAAGATAAATTTTTAAGCACAACAATAAATCCCAATGAGATTTCCCAGCTAAATTTATGTCCTACTTCACTTCTCCGGTCATCCCCCTATGTCCAAACTTTCGGTCTACAATTAAAAGAATGTCGTCTAAAATTCCGGGAACGAACCAACAATACAAATTTTAATACCAAAAATGAGTAGGAAGGGAGGGAAGGTTTCAAAACCTCAATACCCATAAATGAAGAAAATATTTTTTTTTCTTTTTTTTTGGTGGGGGGGGTTGGTTCTGGATCCTTCAAAGTTTAAGTATGAAACTAAATTTCGAAGATGGAAGCTTGTAGAAGTAATTACTTACACGTCGAAGTGGTCAATTATAGAACCATCCTTGAGAACTTCCAAGAAGAAAGGATGACAAGGTGCTTCACTCCACGAGGGAATCGTATAGGGAACTGCAACACTTGGGGATTCACCAGAAGCGGAGCGAGAGTTAGGTCTACTATTATTGTTTTCAGGGGTCTTCCTATCCGATTCCGGAACATGAGTTTCGCTATTATTAACTTGGGTTTCTTCTTGTGCAATGATTTGTGGTTCAGCAAGGAGATTAGTATCAACTATTTTGGGTGGATTGATGTTTTTGGGAGGGGGAGGACCCATTGGAACTTTCATTGTTACAGGGTTTGAAAGATCACTTTGAGGATTCATTTGGGTGTCTGAACTGGAATCTGTATCTGTACTGGAGGAGCTTGGGTTACTAGGAGAGGGAGGACCCATGGGAACCTTCATTCTTCTCTACAGGAGAATCGAGGACGAGGGGGAGAGGGAGAGGTGAAGGGGAGAGCGCGAAAGATCAATTTGCGTCGACGGGGTGCCTACTGCCTCCCGCGCGTCGACCGACGACGGATTTTGTTCGGTTGGCATAATCCCATTCCCAGACCTCGGCCGACCTGTCCAAATTCGAACCCGGTCCATCCGACCCGACGCCCCATCTAATTTCGAGGTGATTCAGGTTCAACCGTTCAAATCAAAAAGGCCGTCTTGGGCACGGATCGAGGTGTCATTTTTTCAACACATTTAATCAGATGAAATGTTAATTGGGGAGAAATATCATCCTGGATATCTCTTTTTATTTTGCCCGTCTATATCACTGTTGGTTAGGCCCTTTCATGGGCATGCTTAGGAGTTCAGTGGACCGGTTTGGGTTGGACCCGTCCAAATCAAAATTAATTTGGACGGATTGGGCGGACCAATAAAACATAGTGAACTAGACCAATCCAGTCCAAAGTATTTACTGGATTGGATTGGACTGGTCCATATGCAATGGATTTATATTGGAATGGGTTTGATTGGTTTGATTGCCCAATGTCAAGTCCATTGGTAAAAAATAAGAATACAGGTGTCAACCAAATTTGGGTTGGAACCAGTCTAAATTGAAATCAGTTTGAACAGATTAAACGATCAAGACATTGAGTTAGACTAGTCCAAAGTATTTATTAGATTGGATTGGACCTCATCCATTTATAATGGAACTCATATTACACCAGATCGGTTTGGACTAAATCCGGCCCAATTGACACCCCTAGCATACTTACATGTCCCAGACTTCCATTAACAAAATAGCAATACATTCTTCTGGTGAGATGTTTTGAAACCATTGTATGGCTCTTCATTCATAGAAAAATAATCTGTTATAAGTTGAATGGGTTTAAAGAGTTAGGGGCAAACTAAAAAGGGTTCAAAGTGATAAGAAATTATTTCAATGCTCATAATTTAACGATGGATAAGAATAGAATGGCTAAATAGGATTTATATATCCGACTCCATATAATTAAATTTGGATAAGGCTTAGATGATAATGGTTCATTCCTATGTCTAACAATGTTTGATTGCTTTTATTTTCCATTGCCAAATAAAACGTGAAATTACTTTACCATTCTAGTTGGAGATATTGAAACCAACTTGATTTGTACATTCTCCGTAGTCTCTGTGCCACTTTCCCTATAGTTCTTTCTAATCTCACAGGACTTGGTTGAAAATTTACTTGCAGAGAATTTTTTCAAGGGCAAAATGAAATGCTTTGGAGATATACGTTCATGCAGTGTAAATGTTATAAGTTATAACCCAAAACATCTCTAGAAGTTGGTAATGCTGTTCAACTACCTAAAAATCTTCACATCCCCCCGATGCATGGTACAACCTAACCAATCTAGAAGGCAACGACCTGTCCTGTGATATGTACCAGAAAGGGACCTCTCCCCATCTTTCATGAAGAATCTCTCAATCAATCAGAAAGATGTCTGACGCACCTTTGCTTCCTCAGGGCATTCAAAACATGCTGATATCCCCGAGGAATAGGCCACAATGATCTTGCAGACATGTCTAACAAAACCAACCAGAAGCGTGGAGACAGCCTTGACATTAGGCAAGATGAGGGTGTCTGATGAATAGACCCCAATGATAGAAACCTAGGTAAGTAGAATTCCATGGACTTGGAACACATTGAGTAGTGGCGGTTTTGGTAGATCCATTGATTCTATGAAAGATTCTCCAATCCAATTGCTGATAGTTTATGAACTTCATCACTTTTTAATGAGTAGTTCTGTGAAAATTGATGTAATGTCGACCTTTGTTATATTGTAGTTGTGAATCTGACAAGAACGCCTACCAAGCCTTCTAGGTATAATTGGCAAACCTGCTTGTTCTTGTTACAGTCCTTTGTATTTTGTTCACTGTTTCTAGTACTGTAGGGGCCATACTCTTCTGGAGAGGGTCTAGATTAAGAATTAGGTTTTGGGAAGGAAGCTTTGCTAGGAAGTTGACTGATTCGATTTATTCCAATTGGGTTCTTGATAAAGGTGACCACTGGTCTTGCAGACATGTAGTGTGAACGTGTGATCAGGAGTTTCATTGATGCAAAGTTCCCAAGTTTTTCGTTTGGGAACTTGATAAATCGTATAAATAATGGATGTTGATTTAGACAATTCCGTTTAGCAGAGTTATCTCAGCTGCATAGGTTTTAGTGTTCTATCAAAGAACAATTTCCCCAAGTTTGCCATCTCCCATCTGCATCTCATTAATAACAATTTTATTTTCTTTCTTTCAAGGAAATGACAATGGTTAGAGAACTGTTTGGTGCACATTTGAACATTAGAGAACCTTACATCCTCCATTGGTTATGTAAAATCTGCATTCTGCATTTGAAGAGAACCTTACATCTATAGTACAAGATAGATTATCTAAAATTATATGAACATAAGCTACCCTCCGCTATTACAGCTCATAGAATAGCTCAAGAGGAATGGATATGTAAAACAATCTTGCATTCATAGATCTCTAATGGCTGAAAGTGAAAACTGAACTGAGTGGATAGTTGTTTACTTGCTTATTTTAAACCAGCAATTCAACTATTAGGTTCCACCAATAAAACGTCAATGGAATTATAAAAGAAAAGGTTTTGCAGGAATCAAAACCTTTATCTTCATTCCTCTTTGTATTCACAGAGTAAGACGAGGTCCCAGTGACTTATGTATTAGGACAAGCCATGCCTCATCTTACCATATAAACAAGGGATCTGTTTTGCTACCAAAAGAAAGATCTGGAACCTTTTTTTTCCTATTATGAGACAGTGAATCTGATCTCAAGTGGAAATGTTATGTGCTTGAACTAGATTAGCTTTCCTGAAAAGAAAACAAGTCTACTAAAAGATGGGATATGGCTGGCTACCTTCAGCTTGGTTTCAAATCATGGAATTCTTCCCTCTGCAGCTTTCAGTCAGAGTTAGTGAGGGATATTAGAACCTGTGTCCATTATGTGGTTGCCCACTCCTTTCTCTACCTGATTTCTCATTCAGATTTTTTGAACTGTTGTAATATTAAAAGGACAATAGTGAAACCAAGCGCAAATTAATCATAAGCAATCAGATTACCTCATTTTAATAAATAGCAGAAATGACTATTATGAAGAAGGTGAAATTCGATAAGCAGCTTGCACTTTTGATTCCAACATGGAAACATATTTATCAAGCATTGAGATTACAGCTTCAAATTCTGTAACTTGCTGCTCAATCGAGTCAATCTGCTGAACGTATTCATCAAAGTTGTTGCTTTTACCCTTCAGTTGCTCAACAAAAATCCTTAACCCAGAAGCCACATCACCGAAGCCCTTGTATTCCTCAGCCACTCTGAGATTCATCTTCTCCAAAAGTTCAAGCAAATTGTTTGTTCCCTGAGACAAGTTAAAGCATTCAAGCTGTCACTTCAGTGGGCATAAAAGCTTAATCCTTCCTCACAAAGAAATGGATGCCTCCTTTAGGCCTTTAACATGGAAATGTTATGACAATTCTATACTAAAAATTCTATTCTGGTAGCACTTTTCAATTTAAAAGGCTGCAATTTCATCCCAAGTCCATCTTGTCTTCATGTTAATCAACAATTTTCAATTTAACCGACTCTGCACTTTCTTTGAGCAGTGCATAATTTTACACCATACGGGAGTCAAATTGGCATTTGGCAATACCCTATACATGGTTCAGAGTAATGTTCCAGTTGGCTCAAATGCTGCTTTTTCTATTTTATTTTTTATTTTTTTGGCCAATTACGCCTCGTTTAGCTGAGAAATAGCTCAAGCATTATCGGGGTCCTAGAATTATCTCCCTTGGTCCCTATTATTTTATTCTGAAGATCACTAATAAATCGAAACTACAATTTTTTCTCAACATTACTCCTGGCTTTTTATGGTTTACTCTGCAATTCGAGTTTTAGAGTGCAAGCAAGAACCCAAAGAATCCAGAAAATTTGGCAATAGCCACAAGATTATTTTGAATCAGAGACATTTAGTAACCCAGAACCCCCCCCCCCCCAAAAAAAAAAAAAAGTTACGACTTACAAGTACTTCTGGATTTAATTAACTGAAAACTACTCATATTCTCTTAAATATGTTTAAAGAGATGAAGAGGATATGTTAATCGCTTAAGATCCATGAATTGAGAAATATTTGGCATCTACCATGTTATCTTGAGTTTTGAAATGCAAAGACAACTGAAACTAAAGAGGAGGGAAAGGCAACGAGGAATCAAAATTCGACACAGACCTGAAGTTCGCCTTTGATCATTGTGGATACGTTGGCGAAAAGATCGTTGAGTGATTCGGTGAGTTCATCCCTCTCCAGTCCCTCCTTCCCAGCCATGTTCCTCCACCTCCCGGATTGAGTATAGGATACGCAAAATGTTGAATCTTGAAGCGCTCGGTGTTTCGCCAAAACGGAAGAATCGTGATTATTACAATTTTCTGAGTGGTTTGTAGCGAGTGCGGATCTACTGCACTTACCCTGCATTTCCATTGAGCATGCGACAGTTCATGTAGACTGTTCCGGATGGGCGAGGATTTGCTACCAACACTGTCCAAACATGCCACTGCAGCTGTAAATTTAGAACATCTCGCTTGACATTCATGGGAGATGATCCCAATGTGCGGCTGCAGTTGCCAGTTGGGACAGGGTGGCAGTGTATTGTAGACAAGAGAACTCAACCCATTCCGGGTCTCCTGCACCGAGTTCCGCATCAGGGCCACGCCCGTTCGAATAGCTCTACAGCCTTGTATTGGAAATATCTCCGTAGTTAAGTGTTTTATTTCCAAGCCGATCTCTCCTATACTGCCGTTCTAATTCAGACGTATTTCCAATAAAATTCTAACACTGTTCCAACAATTCATTATAGTCACACATCAGGAATATATATGAAAGATGCAAGTTTTAAGTCATATTTATTAGAAAGGCAATTTTAAGATTTTGAATATGTAAAAATCAAGATATACAAAAATATACTAAAAATTAAATAAATCCTAAAAAATGTATTAATAACAATAATTACAAGTTTATATGATTGTAATTAAGTTATTTAAATGTAAAAATACATACTTTAACCATAATATAAAGTGTGAGATATTGGGATAGAATTAATTATCATTTTAATTGAAAAATGATGGAACAACTAAAATGTGTATGCATTAATTTTCAAAAATCAATATATAAATTATCTTAATATTTATTGATATATAAATTCTAATAATTAATTTTAGCACATCCACTAAGAAAAGAGAAAACTTACTTAAAAATAAAAATGTATATAACCATAAGAAACAAATGGAGTGTGGCCTACTTATGAACCTAACGAACAAAGTTTGTAACTTTTATACCAACAATTATATGAGTTAAAATTAATGGCTTGTCGAATTAAGGAATAACAAATGAGGTTAATGAGAGAGAGAAGAGCATTGATGAGAGAGAATTTGAATTAGGCGCTAGAATTCAATTTTGAAAATTATACCTTAAATATAGAAGTAATTAATGAATTTGATGAGAGAGAAATCAACTTTAAATATAGATTAATGAGATTAGTGAGAGGAAGGGGGACCCAAAACTAAGGTTGCAAGTTAGGCAGGTTGAGTCGGGTTTATGATCAACCCAAACCTGACCCTAAAATTTTGACTTAAGGCCTAAGGTTAAGTTCGATCTTCCCAATTTGAGCCTAGCCCACACTATAATTTGATTGATGCATTCGAGTTAGGCTCACTAGCTCAAATTGGGTTCAGGCTACCTAAGGGATAAACTCGGGCCCAACTCGAAAAATAAAAAGTTGGACTTCTTGGGCCCGATGACCAAATCCAAGCCTAGCCCGTGTAAAATGTTGGTTAGGCCCACCCAAGTTGCACCCCTACCCAAAATGAATTAAGTGTCTCAAGATGTATTGGATTGTTTTGGGCCTGTATCAACCAATATCAACTCAAAATAGGCCGATATGGGCCTGCATCGATTCAATACACATGAAAAGGAATGCAACACATGATTTGCACATGTTATGTGTATTGGACCTTTGTCGGAAGGATATGTATCACCCGATATGTTGTGAACCTTAGGAAGATGTTCTCAATGTGCGACTACAGTGGCATGTTGCAACATTGTTACAAACAATGTTATGAGAACCGGACTAGGCATATAACTGGAGAGGGGAGAGGTTCATGGGTCAGAGGTTCAACTGGGGTCGAATAAGAGGTTGAACCGTGATAACGTGGCAGGCATATACATATATATACTAAGGGTCATATAAATATTAAATATAATACATTTTACAACTTTTAATATACTTAAATATGGTGTATTGATGACAAAATCCTTACTTTTTAAAGTAAATGATTAGGATTCAAGTCTCTTAAATTACATTTTCTTTAAATGCATGCATAATAAAGTAATATATAAAATAAAAGTCATTAAATAATACCATTTAAGAGGTGGATTAATGGTAATTAAGCAATATATGCAAATAAGAGGTCATATGTTTGAATCTTGTTAAGCACATTTTAAACTTTTTATTAGTTAAGGACCCAAACGGTTTCATGAAACCGGGGTCGGTTCATCAGTTTTTTGGTTGGTCAACTAGTTTTCACTAGTTTTTTTTAACCAAAGCAATTATTGGGGTATGACCAAACCAGCTAGGGTCCTAGATCACGATTCAACTGGTCCAATCAGTCGATCCGGTCCAGTTTTCTAAATACTAATTACGTGTGTTTTGTTAGGAGCATATCCCTACCAGTTCCATTTTGTTTGTGACAAGTTTACCATTGTCGTGTGTAAAATGCTTATACATAACGCAAGATGGAATAGAAAGTAGAAATCAAGTAAAATATTCATACCCAAGAGGTTTCATGAAACCGGGACTGGATCATTGGTTTTTTGGTTAAACTGGCCGGTTAGTCGGTTTCCACTAGTTTTTTAACCAAAGCGGTTATTGGTGTATGACTGAACCGGCCAAGGTCTTGGATCACAATTCAATCGGTCCAACCGATCAGTTTGGTATGGTTTTCTAAACACTAATTACGAGTGTTTTGTTGGGAGCATATCTCTACCGATTCCATTTTGTTTGTGACAAGTTTATCATTGTTGTGTTTAAAATGTTCATACTTCATACACAACGCCGAATGGACTAGAAAGTAGAACTCAAGTAAAATTGGATTTTTTTCCTCACAAAATTGGTCCTCACATCACTTTGATTTGTACATTAGAACATCTTCCTAATTGGGTAGGAACATGCTACCAACAGAATGCTCACAACATTGTACCAACAGACCACATCGAGAACATCTCCTTTTTTTCATTAATGGGAAGATATTCCTAATGTATGGTTGGTGTGGCTAGTTGGGACATCTTGAGAGATTTTAGTTGGTAGCATATCTGAACTCTCCGTACTTTAATTTTATGATTTCATTCATGGGAAGATATTCCCAATGCATGGTTGAAACTTGAAAGTGTTACGAAGACCAATTTTGTGAAGACAATTTGAAATTCAAATAAAATAGGCTAGGCAAATCAATCAAGAGTGAACATGTCAATCTTCAAATGCATAAAGTGTTGGACGGATTTCATCCTCACAATATTGATTCTCACATCATCCTCACAACCTTTGCCCCATGCATTAAAAATATCTCTACTTATATGCTTTTATTCATGTTATTCCCAATGCGAGTCAATATCTGCTCCTGGTAGGACGTCCTAATCATACATAAAAAACATATCTAATGTTATTATTCACGAGAGATGTTTACAATGTATGGTGGTATGCCATGAATGGCTGAAAGTGTCACGGGGGCAAGATTCATGAGGTGGGGGTCTCACGTGGGCCTATGCACTCGTACACTTTGATAGGTGATCCATGTAATGATATGATTATTTCAATTTGCCCAGATTCTTTATAGCCCATTCAATTGTTTCGTGAGTTGCTCCATATTGAGGGTTAGTTTGATTTGTAGTTAGAATCGAGATTGAAATCTTTTGGAATAATCTATTCCCATAGTTTATTTGGTTCAGATAGGAATGAAAATGAGAATTAAAATTAGCAGGAATGATATTTCATTCCCAAGAAAAAGGCAGGGAATGACCATTTCTTTAAATAGGGGAATGCCATTACAGCAGTAATGGGAATGAGATTTTAATCCCACCCAACCAAATAGTTGGAATTGGAATAATAGATTCCAAGTCCGGACCCCTATTCCTGTGAATCAAACGGGGCTTGAAGTACTTCCATCATCTCCATAATCAGCTGAGACACGACAAAATGAAAATATAGGGTAATTGTAGCAAAAGTAAACAACAAATCCATTGCTTTAGGCGGTGTTCAGAAGCGTGGTGAAACCACGCTATGTTGGGTTTCAAACTATGTCATACCTAATTTACGGGGTGTTCTATAGTGTGGATGAGAGATTGGTGTGTGTGGACTGGTCCACACCACACCGTGTGGCAGGGACCAATCCACTACACACCACAGTCCACAGCTGTTCTGAATTGTGGATAAATTGTGTGGACTGGACCAACCCACACCCACAGTAGTGTTTTATAGGCGTGGTGCGGACCAGTCCACACCACACTTTTTGATTCCAAGTATCTCATATATACTTATGAATGATCTACACCAACATTTTAAAAAAGACCTAAAAACGAAAACGTTTTGGCCACCAGTTTTCGGGTCGATGATTCGACCGTCTGATTCGAATGGATGGCCTGTTCTGACAAACAAATTAAAAAAATAATTAAAAATAAAAAATGGTAAAAAACCGTTGAACTGGTGGACGGTTGGACCACTCGGGTCAACGGGTTGTTGACTTTTTCAATGATTTTTTGCCATAAACCAGGTTTGGGGTAAAACAAAACCGCTTGCCTGGGTGGTTCCCGGGCTGAACGGTTCGACCATCCGAGTCAGCGGTGGTTTGAAAACCTTGATCTACATAGTTAATCATAAATATCTAATTTTTGCATTTTATATGATAAATATATTGAAAAATGCATCAATGAATTAATATTAACCAATAGATATTATTTTTTATAAAAACAATAGTAAATAATTAAAAAATAAAGAAATACATATTTTAAATATTTTAAATATAATTTTATTGATAAAACACTAAAATTAAAAAGAAATTAAGTAAAATAATTAATATTTTATTAATAAAAATATTAACATGTGAAACAAATAATATGTAGCCTTTCAAGGAAAGTGTGAAGTGGGGGATCAAAAATCAAGTGTGGACGGTCCCCAACCACGAGATTTTGCCGTGGATGAGAAATTGAGGTGTGGATGGGACCTGTCCATGCTATATTGGGGTGTGGATAGGACTGATACCGTCCACACCCAACCAAATGCGACCAAATCCCATGGAAACAGTCCTATCCACGAGATTTACACGGTTCTGAACACTGCCTTAGTCATTCAAATGTGGTGTGGTGTGGTTTAAACCCCACCATATTGTGGTGTGGTTTTCACCACGTCCAACATAGCGGCCATAGGTTCTTCCCATGGCCTCAACCACACCACGGGGTACTATGGCCCCAGTGTTAGTTACGGTGTTTTGTATGTTTGTTTTTAATATTTTAAATTATAATTAATCAATTTTATTTTTATTATGTAATTATTTTATTAGTTTTCTTATGTAGTGTTTTTAACCCTTCGTTGACCCTATTGGTTGAACTTCTCGAACCGTCAACCGACCGAGATTTTGGGTATGGTTTTAGTAAAAATCGTTGGATGGTTGAAAACTGTTAACTTGGTCAAAAACCATCTGACCTAGATGGTTGGACCGTTAATCCCATTCGACCTAGTGTACAGTCAAAAACCATTGACTTGGTAAAGAACTCTCTAACTTAGACGGTTGGACTGATGATTCATTTGACCTAGTCATCGGGTCACTAGTTGCACACTAACTGTATATGCAAAATTTGGGAGGCCATAACTTTGCACTCCAATGTCCGATTGAGATGATTTTTTTTTCTTTTTCAGTAACTTTTTGATATCTATGCGTCCCAAGATGTTGTAGGTGCCTTGCCCCGCTGTTTTTGCAAAAAAAAAAAACTCTTTTTAGCCTCAAATTGCATTTTTAATATTTTTTTACAAATAAAAAAATTAAAATATAAGTTAAATATAAAATAATACATATGTTACATATAGAACTAGGGTTGTAATCGGATCAGATTCAACAAAATTAGCATCCAACTTGACTAGTAAAAACCTGCATCTGAATCCGATCTGAAATCCAATCGGATTTGAAGACCTCATATTCGAATTCGAATCCTAATGGACTCATATCAGATTCGGATTTAATCTGACTCTGTTTAATTTTTAAAATATCATAAAAATAAAAAAAAAACATATAGAATAATATTATATAGAAAATATTTTTATAACTTTAAATATAATTATATAAAATTCATATATTAAAATCAATACATATTATAATATAACCAGATTAGATGAGATGAAATCCGAATCTGATCTGATTATTAATGGGATGTAGATTGCAACATCCGAATCCTATTTGATTAGATAAATACCTCATCCGAATCCGAGGTAAACAAATCAAATGTTAGTTTGGGCATTGGATTTTTGGGTATCATTGATGGGCCTATATGGAACATAATTATATGTTATTTATTAATAAAATACATGTTTATATACCTACACACACATATATACATATACATGTATGAATTGATGTATTGGTAATGTGAAACGGTTTGACCCATTCAACCCAAATAGTCGAACGGATGACCCGTGACCTAAAGGCAAAAATAGTTTGGCCTTGGGGTTGGCTTTTAAAACACTGCTCTTATGTATGCTTTTTATATTTTTATACTACTTTAGTTTTTTTATCAATATTAGTTTTTTTTTTTAAATTTAGTATTGTTATTATTATTATATTAATTTTTAGTTTTTTTATTCTTTTGATAATATCAAAAGGATTTTTTTAAATTTTTACCACATGTTAAATTAATTCATATTATTGATTTGCATTTTGCTTAAAAGCACCAAAAAATTTTACTCTTGATTGACGACGTAGATCACCTCACATTGTGTATATGAGATACACGAAATCAAAATACAAGGTGTGGCCTGAACCACACAACACCTTGTAGAACGCCTATATAAGTGTAGTGTGGTTCAGACTATGGTGTAATTAAAAACACACCGCCCAATTTCTTAACCACACTACAGAACACCCCTTAATGCCCTCATTGTAAACTTGTTACAATTCACGAGTTCTCGACTAAGCAAATTCCTTATTTTCAAAAACTAAAGTGAATAACTAGACCCTATGTGATTATATCGAATCTGACCAGTCCATTGATGAGTGTTGGTTCATGTTTCTCCTGTCGTCTCTAGGTGAAGGCATTTGAAATGTTTATTATATAAATAACACAACACAACCTGCATAATCTGAATTAATACGACTAACCTATTTTGATTCTATACTAAATGATACATATAATCTGAATTAACACGAAATTAACACACTTAATTTGTTTAAATTAAACAAAAATAACTTTAAATAATAAAAGAAACATTCAATCATCAACTATTCAAACAAATTCATAAAAAATATTCAATGTCTTTCTTACCTATGGTAGTATTCTATCCAAATATGCATATATGATTTTACTTAAAACTTTGGATCCTAAACAAGTCATTTTTGAGTTAAATGGATCGACCTAAAATTAACGCAGACATGATTTTGATGTGAACACAATTAAGATAAACCCAACCTACTAATTTGGTGTTGTTTTCGAATTATTCTAATATTGCTAGCCCTAGTGCTGGTTGCAAGCATTATCGATCAACAATTCAGCACATCACACCACTCTTCACATGCTCACACAACCACACACTATCTGCTGTGCATTCTGCACCATACAGCACATAAATAAGCTATTGTTATTACTGATCTTCCTTAAAGTAGGTGTATCATAATCAACCTAAAGTAAGGGTGTCAATGTATCACATGGTTTTTAAAACCGGACCAGACTGAAAAAACTGGGAACCGGTCACTTGATCGGTTCTGTTTTCCCCCAAAACCGTTGATTTTGGTCAGTGAACCGCTGAACCAGGAGATTAACCGTTCAAATGGTTTTGACCATTTATTATTTTTTTTTGAATTTTTTTTTGAATTTTCTGTTAGAATGGGCCGAGCGTTCGGTTCGAACGGTCAAACCGTTCAACCCGGTAACCAGACCCCTGACCGGTTAGATCACTGGGTCAGTTTTAAAAACCATGATGTATCATAATCAACCTGTCCAGTCCAAAATCAATTTGGACGGATTGGACGGACCAACAAGGCATATTTGATTGGACCAATTTGGTCTAAAATACTTATTAAATTGGATTGGACCTAGTCTGTCAGTAATAAATTTATATTGGATTAGATTGGATTAAGCCAATATCTAGTCCATTAATATAAGATAAGAATATAAGTATCAATGGATCAGGTTTGAATTGAAAACAATCTAAATTAAAACGAATTTGAATAGATTAGACCTGATCCAAAATGGTCCAAAATATTCATTGGATTGGATTGAATTGGACCTGATCCATTTGTAATGGACTCACATTAGACTGGACCAGATTGAACCAAATCCAGTCCAATTGGCACCCCTACATAGAAAAAAATAAGAATAGTTTATAGAAAATTACAAAACTATACAAATGCACTATATCTATAGATGGGATGTATTCCAAGCAGGGTAAACCTGGTCCCTAACCCTAAATATCTAAGCGTAGTACTACCCCGTATACCATAGCGTCAAAATTGATTTCATTGACCGCGCCATTAGTATGCCATCTAAATGGCAACCTGTGTTATGGATGGGATATTGTATATATTTTGAATATAGGAAATGAGAAATGACCATAAAGTTATTAATATGATTTATCTATTTTATGTTAGATCCCAAAAGGCCAAAATGGTCACAAGGGATCTAAGGTATAAAGGAAAATGGCAATAGAAAGTATCTTTTTACTAATTCGTGAACTTTTATTGTATTGTTGCTTTGCTTGGTAGACTTATTCAATCCATTCTAAGTGCCCCACAAGACCTCGACAATTAGCCCCATAGTTGAGTAAGTAGCTGGAGTCCGGATGGGCTACAAACAAAATGGAATCATGCACACCATCAAGAGTGTACTAGTGTGCAGGACTTTGTGTCTTGCTCATCCCGTTGCTTGGAAGAATATCTACTCGTGTAGCATCCTGTAGAGTAACTTTCTATTGAAATCACCTGATCATAAAAAGTAAAAAGGGAGGTTCGACCATCATATTGGAAAAACTTATAACCAATCAAATGCATGTTCTTGATGCTTTTTTACAAGAGAGAGGTACATCGAGGTATGGAGTATGGACCAAGGTTTTAATAGTAACTGATAACTAAACAGCAATATTGCCACCATTACATAGAGAAAAGAAATAACAACACGAACAAGAGAACCTCATAAAAGAAAAGCAAATGTGCACCAAGAATACGGGAGAAAAACAGGCATTTGCATTCATAATTTAAACGACTGCAATCCACACACATCTATCAAGCTCAAAAAGCAGTACAACAATTTACTCTCTTCATACTTGGCAGAGCAACTCAACTAATCATTATTGAGTTGAGTGTCCATATTATTCAACATAAACCATCCTTGGATTCCAACTGATCCTGCTATTCATGGGCCTTTCTGTACACAGTACTAGTCTGCCCTTGGTATCTTGTTTTTCTACTGAAAGTCCATTCCAACAAACGATCAGGATCGTGGGGACGAGTTCTTCTTGATCAGTGCATAGGCATCACTGTATATGGCCACCAAATTTGAGAAAACTGCAAGGACAATCATGAAAACAGACAGGATCTTGTCCTTCTTTGTTGCTATGCCATGAGGATCCCTGAAACAACCAAAAGACATATAGTTCTCTCCCCCAGAAATAAATCATTCAGGAAATTTAAGGGCATTTGGGCATTCAAAGTATCAAGAGACCAGTTCTGTCAGTGCAGTGGCGAGGAAAACTTATCCATCATCATGTAAGTGCATGGTGACTTGTATCCACAAAAAAAGTACTGAACACATTACAATTGGGATAATTGTCCACACTAAGAACCATAAACATTTAAAACTGAACTTGATTATTGCAACACACAGACTTGGAGCAATTACAGAAAATGCTGATTGCTGAAAGAATATAATTAATAATGATGAAGCCAATTGCATAGCATGTAACTTTAACAACTACAAGGGCAATAGACTAATCACATGAGCAGAACTCTTTGTATTCTTTGAACTTGTGAAGGGGGGAGGCCTACACTTGCAACCATGGGGACAAAACCTCCAAAGTACTTTATTTTAGCATGAAAATGAAAATCAAAATAATGAAATAAATTATGTATCAGGTTAACCATGAAGGCATTTTGCTTTCGTTGCCTATTGACTTTATTCAATGGTACTTAATGGTTTCCAAACAAAAACTCAGAGGCTGACACACAGACACACAGCTTGGTGTTGCATTCTACAGAGACGAGATTGCCTACTGAATTTTCATTGGATTTATAGGTCCATAACATAACCAATCATGATTACCATCAGTAAGTAAAAACTAAACCAATCAAAATACCAAACAAAAAAATGCATTCTTCTAAGCATAACTACAGCATACCATCCAAAATGATAATAACCCCACTTCTACAAATTACCACCCATGAAGTAGGTAACATACCTTAGAGCAATGGCAGCAGGAAAGATGAACCCTATGCAGACTGCAGCAGTTGCACCTGTGAACTGGAAAGCATCCCAGATGCTGGGTATGAAATTTGCCCCCAAGAAGATGAGAGACATAAGAACTACATTGATCAGTGCAAATCTTTGGTTATCCAAAACCAAAGGCCTGGCAGAGGGAAACAGGAGGCCATCCAAGTTGAGTCGTAGGGCAAAAAAGATGATAGGAAAGACAAGCATGAGGTGGACAGCATAGCTAACACGAACAGCATCATTGAGCACTGAGCTAAATGGGATGCCAAGGTCGGTATCAAAGTTGGCTAGCACATCATCCAGGGTTGACTCACCAAATAGGAGAAAGCCAAAGAAGCTGGTTGTTATGTACACAGTTGAGCATAGCGCAAGTGAAGTTCGCACAATTGATTGAATCTGGGAAGAGTCTTCAAGCTCATTGTCAATTGTGTGCACTGCAAATATAAAAAAAAAGGTGAAAAAGTTTAAACATCCAACCACAACCAAAGGCATAGTACCAAAAATACAAAAAACAAAGAACACATTCAGAAGCAGCAATCAGCTCAGGGGCTGTTTGATAACAGTTGAAGTTACTGAACTGAATGACTTATTGTTTTGTCTTTTATGGATAGAAATAGTTAAATAATAAAATATTCTAGATTATACTATGTTACCCAACTTCAGCTTCAACCAATAAGGAGCCCTTGACCTCCTTAAAATCTTATTCACTAAAAGACAAAGCAATAAGCTTTTCAATTCAGACACTTCAGCTGTTATCAAACAGCCCCTCAGTCTATTTAGGGGCCTGTTCGGGGGGTGCTAAAGCTTTGATTGAGTTTCTTTTACTGAGATGCTTTGGAGAAGCCACTAAAAGAAGCTTCAGTAGAAAGCCATATTTTTGGCTGTAAGATGGCTATTTTGAGCTTTCTGGGCTTTTCACCAAAAATTATTTATAAGATGTCTAGGTGGGGCCCACCTCATAAAACAAGAAGCTGCTATGTCAAAGCCCTCTTAAGTGGGCACTAGGTTAGTTATTTCTCTGACAAGTTTAAATTCCACATTCAGCAAGGATATAAAGATATCCTCAACTGCAGAAGACTAAAAGTGAAACCCAAATTTCCTCAAATGACCAACAAGGCAAACTACCATTCTCAGAAAATTAACATCCCTTTTCACCAAAGTACATAAACAAAATAATTAGAAAAAAAATATCTCCCATGATCATTTTCACTAAAAATGCATGAACATTTCATATCCCATAAATGCCATGTGTATAATTGTGTTTATATTAGAATGATAATGGCATACCATTATAGTGGCAGATATAAGCCGTTACAAGAACTGGAACCACAGTGAAGAGTTTCCAGAATGATGTCATATCAGTAACATTTGGAAGCCACCTGGGCATCTCAATGCTTCCACTTATCAATTTGACAATCGTGATTCCAGCAGTAATGACAACAAAAGCAATTGCGAGTGCAACTGATAAGGCAGACGTGTACCTCAATGAATCTGCACAGAAATTAACATGAGATTCTCCCTCCAAAAATTTAAGTCTGAACAATAGATACACAAACAATTATTTAGGTTCTTTGATAGAAGAGCAAGTACAAGAACCTAGTCATCAAAGTACAAATCAACAAGCAAACAAGTCTCTAGAACCCAAAGGCATGAAAGAAAAATGCAAGAAAGTTCCAAGCTTTCCAGTGAAATCTTGGGAGGGATGGACTGGATACAGACCTAACCTTTGGCATTTTTTGCACACAGTGGCTGCTCCCACTGAAATCTTGTTTAATTTTGCTAAATAATGAGTCCAAGGATTTAAAAGTTAACTCTCACTAGATCATTCAGAAATAACTAATATAATGGAGGAATCGACTGGAATGCTATCAGGAGCACATACCGTCATTTCCCGAAAGCTATGTTAGGCTTAGGCCATGAATTTCCCTTGAAGCAAGCAAAGATCAAGAAGACATGGAGGCACTGCATTAAATGCTCAATTACCTGATATAGATAATTCAAGGTGTCCTCCATGCCTTAAAAGGCTCAAATTCCCTGAGATCCACAGTGCATAGTGTGGGTGCTACCTATCGCATGCCTTGAAGCTCATATCTTATAGGAGGCATGTATACGAGGCATAAAGTGAAAAAGCTCATATCTTATAGGAGGCATGCATATGAGACATAAAGTAAAAATAAGATTTTAGCTAAAGGACTGCAGCATAAAAGAAGAAAAATCATTTTCTTAATCATGTTAAAATGTTAAAAAAACACTACACTTTAACATTTTTAGGTTTCTAAAAAAACCCTTAACCACTTCCAAAAAGAAAACACATTTTCAATTATTTTTAATGATAAGAATGTGAAAGTGTAAGGGTTGAGGTTACACCTGATGCATGGAGAGGCAGTACGACCTTGTCCCATGCCAATGCGTGGTCTCTAGGGATTAACCTATTCTGAATGACAAATATTTAAGGACCATCCAAGAGTGTGGGCCTAAGGAATGAGGACCATGTATTCCTCAACAAGATGCTACTGCAACTCAAACTATAGAGATGAACTGAAACAAGGACATATATCAGGTAGCACTTCCTCAATGGATTTTTATTAAACTTACAAGGATATCTAAATCTACTTAGACAACATTAATTGAATCCTCTAACAATTAAATTCCTGCAGAGAAAAATGATGGCATCATGGAGATCATTTTCATCAGTAAATTAATGAAAAACAGCTATTGCAAGTCCGCAATGGCCATCTCATGCCAATTAAGTGCTTGTTCGATAAATAATATAAAATCAATTGCGAATAAACTTGCCTACACGCTTGAAACAAGTCAATGGAGCAAAAATAGCAAGAGTTGTGACAAGCAGAACAAAGGCACGCCCATTCCACCAGTGTGCTCCAAACCAGCCTTCCAAGAGACCAGCATGGTGAATTCCACTTGCAGATGTTCCAGAAAGCACATCACCTAATAACGGAAGTGGTTGAACCAATGAGTTAGTAAAAATTATCCATGCGACAGACCATGAATAAAAGTTCTTAATTAATTGAAGGGTGAGAAAGGAAAAACAAAAACTATTCCGATAAATCATTATCTTTCTACTTCAAGAAGCTAAGACTATAGGAGAATATAATTCTAATAAGAAAGGAAAATAGAAACAAAACAGATGAAGTGGATGTAAGCTATACCAATTATAATCATGTAAACAATCAATACACCAACGTTGTTGATAACTACACAGATCTGTAATAACACCCTTCCGACTTTTCCAAAGGCGTCTCCCATAACTCCTCCATATGAATCTGTTTTGCCAGCTTTACTGAACCGGAGCAACATATCAATCGAAGCCTCCGTAAGGAATGCTACAAAGATGATCATAGCTATCCCTGCGCCAAGCCCTAAAACTTTCATGGTCGCAGGCAAAGCCATAATTCCAGCACCAACGATGGTAGTTGATAGATTAAAAACCGCCCCACTAAAAGAAGCACCATTAAACTCATGGAACTCAAGATCTTCATCTTGCCTTCTCGGCAGCAAAGGAGCATTCTCGTCAACAACCTGCTTTTTCTTTCGTGATGAGCTCTTCTCCTTCACAGGGGCAACGTTTCCGATAGTCATCTTTTGACGATTTAGGACTCCTAACAGAATTCGTAACACAGTAATATACAATAATTTCTTGGAATTTACAAAAAAAATCGAAAAAATTAATCACTTTTTAGGGGAAAAAGAAAAAAAAAAAAGAGCTGTACAAAGGGCTTATTCAGAAATGGAAGATCGGAAGGCACAAGCTTCCGATTGAATTATAGCTAAGAATTGCTTTGAGTTTTCAGTAAGCTTAAAAAAGGGGTTGCTATTTGCTAAAGGTTCAGATTTCAGAAATAAGCAGAAATTCCAATTAGAAGCCCCAAATCGCACAAAGGAGAGAGATCTACTCCAGAGGCCAGACAAATGGGGGATCAGCTGAGGATGTCAAGACAAAACAATCCAAGGATCCCCGATTAAAGCCGAGACAATACGAATGAGAATTTTCAAAACCAGGAAAGCACGATATGAATGAGACTTCGAAATCAACTCAATTGTTCGACGAAAGCAAGCAACTAATTCCCGACACCTTCACGCAAAAATCGACAAGAAGCCACAATAAATAAAGTTCAACTATTAAGACCTCAGAAAAAGGGCTTCTCCGCTTCTCACATGGATCAAGTTCAAGTAGTCTACCGTCTTATCTACGATTTGACTGAAACAGTGAAACTGAACCATAATCGGAAGTAGAAGTTATCTTCATTCCAAGGTGTAACTCGAGTTTATCAAAGAAATTTTTACAGGTCCGATCCGACGGAGATGAAAGCGTCACAGTCGACGGCTAAAGCACTAAAAGCCCTCTAAGTCGAAATATACAAACAATCTCCGCCTACGTTGGAAAGATCCAAGTCAAGACAATTTAAACGCGTACATGAATACATGATACTGTCTGCATTGAAGGCTAGCGGCTTATGCAAATTTAATAGCGCTGGAGATATTTCAGCAACGAATATTACAATGCTGCCCTTGCATTTCTTGATCTTCTTACGTGGATACGGATCTGTGACTGGGCCTCCAATTAGACTGTACGGATACAGGTAATCAGGTAGACCTTCCCGCCAACAAGAACGGACCGACCATATTAGTTTACTGATCTCGTGTTTGAACTTTGAATTGAACCCTATATTGTTTCTAGCCACGACAAATGCACCTTTTCATTCTACGAATTCCGGGGCGAAAGATTCAAGATTTTACAAACTCCGCACTCCCCCACATAAGAAGATGTCATAGCTCATAGGTCTTTTTTTTTTTTTTTTAATTTTTATTTTATTTTTAACTCAGAAAGCTTTCATTACTTATAGTAACATATTACATTGGGTATTATGGCTGTTCACACTTTCTACTACGATATTATATTTACATGCATTATAAGTAAGTTCATGAGCAACCGTATTCATATTTCTATTTACATGGTCTATAACAGTTATATCAAAAAAGGATAGTAGATGTAGAATTTTCTGTTTGATGGCTTGAACTTGACAGTCTATTTCATTATCCATATAGATGTTGTTTACCAAGCTTTCTGAATCAGAAAAAGAAAAGATAGCCAGGCTCTTCATCTTCACCTTTATGGCATATTGAATGCCATGTAAGAAGGCCCATCATTCGGCTTGAAGTGAGTTAGCTACTGCAATTCTTCTGCTACCTGAGAATATTTCATTATCATTTGCTCATGTTCCTGCCATACCAGATGATGGATTAAAGGTCCCATCAATGAACATTTTGTATTGTGCAACTAATATTATATGAGCATGTGATGTAGGAAATTTACTCTATTGAAGATCTTATTTTTGTGCTCCGCTACATTCCTCATATCCCATATCAACCTGAATAGTATAAGGAACTTTGCAATGAAGGCTTGTTTTTCTTCTTTGCTTAGACAGTTTAATTTAGAGTCTATCCACTCCTGTATGAAAAGATAAAGTTACTTATTTCTTATGAGTTCTGGGTTTATTCCTAAACAAGCCGAGAGCCATACTGCTCGAGCATAGGAGCACTCAAAGAAGAGGTGTTGCCAGGTTTCTGTAGTTACATGGCACAGTGGACATTTTCTCTCTTCCTCAGCAATGAAGTGCTATTTGCCCTTTGTAACAACACCATTCCACCATACCTTCCACATGAAAAGTTGCAACCTCATTGGAATTTTGCTTTTCCAGTTCCAGTGATGTCCTGAAGATGATGCTTGTGTTGACATGAAGAAGTTATAACCTGACTTTACATCATATATTCCCGATTTGGATCTCTTCCAGATGACAGGTGATGAGAGATTAAAGTTTGATAGATTGGGTAGCAGCTTTCTTGCTTAAAGACTGATTCAATTTTCCTTCTATCCCATTCACCTGACGTGGTGATGAGCTCATTCACTTTTAAACCCCTTAACTGAGTGGCTGCTTTGGGCTTTGTATCTGGGATCCCATTAGTTAGCGCTGGTACCCATGGATCAGAAACAAATACCTCTGTACCATTTTTGATCTGCCACATTGAGTTTGGTTTTAAATTATCCCATAATTGGATAACCTGCTGCCACCATCCCGAGTCCGCAAGCTTTTTTTTTTGAGGGAATAGATAGATTGATTTTTAACATATTTTGCTTTTATTGCCTCCCTCCGTAGCTCCTTTTCATTGGACCACAATCTCCAAATTTGTTTTGAGATCAGTGCTTGATTAAACCCCTTGTGAAGTTTTAGAGATAGTTCATAGGTCTATAAGACACTTATTACTGATGTTTTTTTTTTTTTTGGTGAGGGGGGGGGGAGGATTTTTGGACTGTAATCCCCCTCAGAAATTTTTTTTGTTTGCTATTACGAGCTTTTCTTTTCCCTCTTTTTCTTTGTTTGGGCCCAAAATAAGTTGGGCTTTGGCTGATCCGGCTAACCCATATGCCCTTAACGATCTCACATTTGACAGTTTTTTTAGATGGGTTGAGTGACTTGAGTCTCTTCAAGTGGGTAACGACGACTCACGAGTCACGAGGCTCCGGTCGACATCGAAATCCACCTAAACTATAAAGCCTGCGCTAACGAGTAACGAGCCGCCAAATAATACCGAGTAACAAGAGAGTCCGTTATGGCTAGAAGGGCGTTTCTGTTGTTTATTTGAACCGGAAGAGCGGTTCTGTTCACATGGGGTAAATTCGGAAAACGATATTTGAAATACTTATCGTTATATGTTGGACAGACATTAACCATTCAGAATTTAAACACGCCAAAATAAATAATTTGGCGTTTTGGCTTTTAACTTACTCCAAAAAATGATAAAAAATGTAATTGCAAAAGTTAAATCAAATCAAGCCCCTTTCTTAATCACTATCAGTTAATTGTAGTTGGGGCGATAATAAAGCGTGGTTCTGGTTCTGCCACGTGTATTTAACGTTCAAAAGAAAGGAGCTGGGAGTATCAATTGTCTCAGAAAAAGTAGGTGGGCCTAGGTCCAGGCGTGAAGTGCCAATTTTGAAAAGACAAAATATTAGGGTGGCCCATGGCCCACTTGGTCGGTTCATCCAGCCGTAGGACCGTAGCATACAATATAGCTCATTTATCCGGCCCTTGCTGTTGCCTAGGTTGCTTATTGCTAAGCTCATCTTATAATCTATTGGCTGGTGGATTTGGAATTCTGGATTATTGACTGTAATCAGATGAGATCGCATTTGATAACAACTGGATTTGGATCTTCACGCTTGTCATCATCTCAACACGGCAACTTGTACCCACCTAGTGGGTGCAGTTATTCTAGCGTAGCATAAGATAAAATTTTCCCAAAGGCCTGCATATCGCATGATTAGCACGTGGGGTGAAGAATGGTTTCAAAAATCAAATTTCATTTGGCTGGGGGCTAGGCAATAGTTGTGCACAGAGGTGTATGATTTTGATTGAATGCTGTGGAGTGTGGGCCCTTACAATTGTCAGGTTGGAATTTATTGTAGAACCCAGTGTTATAAAACCGATCCAGGTCGAACCGTTTTTGTCTTTCTCTGAGTCGCGAGTCACCGGTTTCACCAGTCGGGTGAGAAGAGTATGTATCAATATGTATTTTATTAATAAATAATGCATAATTATGTTTTATATATAATATATGAAATATTTTAAATTTAGTTATAATTTTTTATTTCTAAAAAAATTAAAAATTATAATTTAATGTTAAAAAGGGTTTTTTTTTTTTGAAAAAAATAATGGGGTATAGTGCATTGGGACACATGGATCTCAAAAACTTACCTAGAATAAAAAAAAAATCACCTTAATCAAATAGGTTTCGACCAAATCAATGGTTTTTTTTATCCTTTTTCGGGTTTTACTCAAATCAAACCCAAAATTTTGCTCGAATGACAGTTTGAGTGATTCAACTGGCCAGATCAACAGTGGATTGAAAACACTAGTAGAACCCCATCTCGTAGCTGACAGTGGGCTCTTTCCATTGGTAAGGTTTGAATTTAACCACCAAATAAGAACAAACTTATGGGCTCTTGTTCAACTTAATGGGTGTCATAAAACTCGAGATCAAATCAACCCCCCACAACGTTCCGCAGAACATTCCCGTCGTGTATTGAAAACATCTTAAGAACAAACTTATGGGCTCTTGTTGTGGGGGACTGATTTGAACTCATAAAACTCATAAGAGGTTGTTTGGCATTGATGCCATTTTTCAGAAAAAGTGCCACATTGGATCCAGTTTGGCATGGTTGTTTTCTCAAAAATTGGCTGTTTGGTTGACGCGATTTTTCAAAAATTGGCAATGCATGTAAATTGTAAAAGGGTGATCATTGTTCCCAACAGTTGAATTGGGATCTACTCCACATAGGGACCTCATAGTCACATCCCACTGTGTATTGAATACGTCTCCTATAAATAATAACATACGGAGAATATTGCTGATGTGTGAGTAGAACATGTTGTAAGATCAGTGTAAGGAGCAACCTACATGGATGATGAATCCAACATGGAATCCAATGTGGCATTATTAATTCATACTGTTATGGTGTTAGAACTTAGAACATTGAAGGTACTCGCCGTTTTCTTGCCATTCCATCTCGCCGTTGATACTCACCACTAACGGCACCATCTCCGGCAGGTTTGCTGGTGACAAAGTGTGCAGTGAAGACCTGCACGAACTGAGCCCAACACTTTATCGATCCGGGGGCCAGGTTCCTGTACCAAGTGCGGGCTACCCC